CAAGTAATGATTTCTAGAAATGTAGTTAGTTTTGCATGGAATAGACATATATCTAGTGTGGAAATGTTACTTGATAATAATGTCAAAGCAATCATTGATCCATCAATAACGTTTTAACTGACTTGGTCTTATCTTTGTATGATATCTTTGATTTAGATATAGTTTGATCTCCGAACATCAATTTTCAATCATGATATTTTGACTGGAATGCGATTAATTTGATTCTTGGATTGCAATTGAACAATTATATCTCATCTTTAAGCAATGCTGAGGAAGTAAGTTAACGTTGGTGGGGGATTGGGCACTGATAGAAATGATAGTTCTTTAAAAAGTAGTAAATTATACCATTCACAAGGCACTAAGGAGATGTAACACATCTACAGAAGAAAGAATCTGTTAACAAGCAGAAAAAATAGATCTCTAAGTCCCTTAACTCGCGAAAAGCAGAAATAGGTTGACCATTAAGGCATAGATTCAGGAAATGAAACCAAAGATCTCTAACCCATGAAAAGGGTACTCGGTACTCTTGAAATGCTCTTTGATTCCTCTCTCTCTGATAACCCTGAACATAGCTAAAGGAAAATAAGAGCCACGATGACCTTCTGTGGTCCTTTTTGGTCTTTATACCTTCCCGTTTGCAGATTTCTGCTAGAATAGAACCAGTAACTTCCAACTGCAATAAAAACGATAGTTAAATATTAAATATTTATTCCTATTGATCCTTTTCTTATTTCATCCTGGTACTGAAGCACTATTTGTGGAGAGTTAGCGGATAGCATAGATCTTTTGTATTGCTAGTAAATATATAGTGCTTTCTATTTAGCATGTAAGATTTAAAATTAATTTCCTGAGAACAAACCAGCTGACAGAATAAGAAAACAGACAACTGAGCTGATGAAACTGGCATGGCTAAAGGTAAAAGGGGATTGATTATCGTCAGTTGTATCTGTGTTGAGAGTTTGAGTTTTAGCACATGGGAGCTCAACTACAGCCTTCCAAATGATAACCAATTAATAAAAGTGAATCTAATCCTGCTCTCTATCTTTTGAGTTGTATAGAAAGAGAGGAATAGGTGTGCGTTTGATGGAGTTGAGGATGTAAATAGTTTTGATATACTTAAGAATATATAGTTCTGGACTCTTAATTTTTTGTTACGAGGTCATCCTCTTTGTTCTTTGTTCTGTGGAGGATTTAACAGAACTTGTTGATACATTAATTGATTTGTAAATTCTGTAAATGGGTTGCATCCCCTTGATGTCTATATCAATACAATTTTCGCTCCTTATATTGAAAAAAAGAATAATTCATTCTTATGCATACCACTAATCAAAGATCTTATATATTCACTTATCATGGAATTGGAGCTTTCTGTGTGTTTTGTCTAGTTTCAACTTTCCTTTATGAATTAATTGTCAAAAAAAGAGATGCGGGCGTGGCTTCTCTTTTATAGTATTTTTAGAGGTTAGGGGATATGAGAAATCATGAAGATAGGAACCAAATCCTTTGCTCTCTAAGCTTTTTTTTTTCTATCTGGTAAACCACATTCATTATCATTTCAGATGTTCAGTGTGCCTCGGGGACTACCAGGCAGAGGATAAGCTTCAACAGATACCAGCATGTGGGCATACCTTCCCACATGGAGTGCATTGACCACTGGCTATCCTCCCACACTACATGCCCACTCTGCCGTCTTTCTCTCCTTGCTAAGGCTCCAAGCAGTTCCCCAGATAACCAAAGAACAGCTAATCAGGAGTTTCCAGTCACAGAGAACGGGAATCAAGCATTAGCTCAATCAGCATCTCAAGTCTGTGAGGAATCACAAGCTGTGCAACTCTCTGAATCATGGAATGGAGATGCAGGAACAATCCAAAATGGTACTCATGAAGAACAGCGACATGACAATCAGGTGAGAGATTGTCTCTCTCTCCGTGCTAAGGCTCCAAGCAGTTCCCCAGATAACCAAAGAACAGCTAATCAGGAGTTTCCAGTCGCAGAGAATGGGAATCAAGCATTAGCTCAATCCGCATCCCAAGTCTGTGAGGAAACACAAGCTGCGCAACTCTCTGAATCATGGAATGGAGATGCAGGAACTATCCAAAATGGTACTCATGAAGAACAGCGCCATGACAATCAGATGAGAGAAGTTAGGGATTCAAGGAACCAGACCGAAGCGCATGAGCATGGCAGAGGAAATTCAGGTACTTTAGATTTGCCTTTGTGACAACTTTAGCTTTTCAAAGGGCTCAGATGCCTAAAATATCTTCCTTTTTCTGTTTATATCCAACTCTTTGTCATTCATCGCCTCAAACCGCAGAATACAGGGTTTAATAAGCATAGGAGTTTCGGGAATTTATAGATATCGGAAGCTGTTTTCTATTTAGATGTGTATATACGCGGGTTAATAAATTTCTACTTCAAAGCTATTTTAAAAAAAATTCTACTTTAAAGCACAAAATCAAAATGGCGAGATGCAGTTGCATTCACGTAGTTTAGACTTTTTACAATCTAAATTCAGTACCTATGATTTTATTGTTGCCTTTTCACTTTAAATCTTTAATAAAATATCCTTTGTCTTAATTCAATAATCACAAGAGTAAAACTGTGATTTATCCAAACTAAAATGGAAGCAATGGTTGCTGGAAAAGGATCCAGTTTTAGTCATATATCTATCATTGTCAGAAGCACCAATCCAACTGGAAAATTCTGTAGTACTCCAAAGTCTTCGGCTTGTGAATGCTATCAGCTCCTCTGCTTCCAAACTTCTAGACCTTATAAATAAAAACTATGCTTGCATAATCTTATTGATTATCAATATATCACTTCTCAGTTTGTGACTTCTTTCTTGGTCGTGTTTGGAACAGCTTGAGTGAACCAGCGGCAGCTGATGCTTCCAATCTCAATTTGCTCTGTCACATTCTCTTCTGCAAGCAAGAACTACAGAAGTTCCACTGTTATGCTGACAGAGCTCACAATAAGTTCTCGACCTTATGATCCTTACGATTCACGGTACTTCTATATTTTAAACCCATAGATTGCAGTAAAAGAAAATTCTTAGACCATTTAAAAATTAAAAATCTATATATAATTTAATTAATAAAGTCTATTTGATATTCCTTGTTGAATTAACCTTGTCTTGAGACATGGTAGAATTTTCCTAATATTCAACCTTTCTCTAAAAGGGTAAGTGGAGAAAAGAACTTATCGACAATCTCACGAGCACTCAGATGCAGAAGGGGATGGTCTTGTTGGGCAACAATTGCAGTGAAGACAGAAGTGAATGTGGTCTCTATGTTGTTGTGTAACTGAGAGAGCATGAATGAGCATTTTGAGGTGGTTTACCCCTTGTTGTCTTCCTTTAGTCCAGCATAGTGAGCTGTATTGTGTATAGGTTTTGTATGTACTTTATCCAGGATTTATATAAGGGTGACAATAAAAGATGGAGAAAATATTGATTTAAAATTTATTTTAAATGTTTTAGCAGAAATTTATGGATAATATATATATATATATGTTCATTAACATAATTTTTTAGCCAATGATTTCTAACCGTTTTTTATTGACGATATTATGGGTGTATCTTTATTTTTTATATACACGATGATTTTTTAATTTTTTTCCCCCCTTTTTTTTTTGTTTGTATCATAGAAAATATAATCTTTTAACGAAAAGCATAATTTATAACTTTTGTATCCCGGTGTGGGTGACAGTAAATAAAACTGAGAAAAATTATAATTAAAATTTTATTTTTAAATTTTAGTAAAAATTTATGTATTTTGTTAATAAAATAATATATATTTGATTAGGATATAATTTTATTAATGACTATTACAGTTTGATAGAAGGTGTTGTACATACCTCTGTTTATATATTGATGAATAAAAATTTAATTTTAAACTGAGACTAAATTATCTTTTCAGATAATTTTAAAAGCATATCATGATCCATGGTTGGTGTATTTTGACGTTTTACCCACAACTTTTAATATAATTGACACGAGACATGACCTTGACACCTTCCTAATACAAAAGGGTATAATTGGAAATTAGCTCCTATCAAATTTATTTTAACCTAATACAGCCCTAAGATTTTTTTTTTTTTTTTTTTTTATAAACATAAAAAAGCCCCGTTAAATATCTGGCTTATCTCTACTAGATTGCACGTCTATATTCATCTGTATTCTTTGACCTTTTCTTGTCCTTTGTTTTTTTGCCTTTTTGTTTGCTGAACTGTATTTTATGATTTAGTCTTTTGTAAATATTATCTATTTTTGAAAATAATATAATTTTAAAAAAAATTCTAAAATTTTTAAATATTAATAACTAAAGATTAAAAATTATTATTTTTATTAATATTATGGGCTCAAAATTAATTATTATCTTTTTATTTATAGACTCAGTATATTTTTATAATAGGTATAAGTCAAACTTAATTTTTCTAACGGTGAATGAAAACTACTAATAATACCCACAGTAATTGAAGAAAGCTCCAGCCGTCCAATCCGGTGTGTTCTCGTGGGGCCCATGATTTGGTGCATAGTATACTTTTAGGTCAAGCATTTACGGTGGGTCTGATCGTACATGATCAACGGTAGCATAATGTTTTTCTTTAAAGAAAAAAAAAAAAGCTGCCTCGAGTTTGTTTTTTTTTACTGGCAAACAAGGCCTTGTGTCACCGTCACGTTTGAGAAAACTTCAGCAGTAACCTGGAGGAGCTGGGGGGTCAAAGTGTCAACCCTGCTGTAAGTAGCAGTGCAGTGACTATTTCCTCTTTTTCTTCAACTTTGTTTGTATTTTCCATTTTGAAATACGGAAATGTAATTTTTCTTTTTTGTTAGAATCTTTGCTTAGGTTCTTCTGATTTTTCTTGTATTTCTTTTAACGATCGAATTTCGGAAGAAAAAGGCCTTTCTGATCTGAGGAGGATTTAGATTTCAATCTGTCTTGGTCGAATTATTTGTGTAAGATTACCGTACTAGAGCTCGATCCCTTGCTTTTTTCTTCCAGTTTCTGGCAACAAAAATGAGCTTGATTTTGATTTTCTTATTCGAATTTGACCTTCAATCTTCAGTTCTCTTGGAGAATTTTTCGTTTCAGTAGAGAACGTTGTTGATTTGTCTTATATGTCGATAGATTAGTTTTTATTTGAATTTCTTTTTTTTTTTTTTTAATTTCGGTCTATGTAACTAATTCCGCGAATTCTTGGATAGAGCTAGATTTAAACCTGTTGTGCTGGGGTTATTAGTTTGTGGTGAAAAATACAGAGAGTTTTTTTGGTATCATGATTATATATGGTTTTTATTTGACTTGCAGGCTTTAGAGCCTCGGCCTCATATTTCTTCATGGGAATGAATGTGAATGCCGCTGCTAAACAGGCATGAGGGACTTCATTCTTGACTTTGAATATTTAGCTGAAGGATTTTGTTGGTATTTTCTGGAGGCCTTTGATTTTTTTGCAGAGGAATTCACCGCGTTTTGTTTGATACTTACCTCCACAATTGAGGAGTTGATACGCTTCCTCTTTTGTCTGATCTTGATTGCATAGATTCAAAGCTTTGAACTCAGTTAAACCATTTATTATAGAAGAGAGTGATTTCAAGCTTAGTTAGATAAAGTGAGTGTTGAAAATTTGGTCCAGTGATTAGCTAAATTGGTTGGTTGCACACTGACGCTGGCATCTATGGGTTCCATTCAATATACTGTTCATTATTGTTGTGTTTCTAGAGGTAATAGGACTCTGTATGTGTATACTGAGGGAGATCGTGAAATTGAGAATCTGGCTGTCTTGTGTTTGGAAAGGACACCCCCTTTCCATAAGTGGTATTTTGAGACAATAGGTAAAAGGACATTTGGATTTTTGATAGAAGATGGATATGTGTATTTCGCAGTTGTTGATGAAGGTCTTGGAAATCCAGGTGTACTTAAATTTCTTGAGCATGTGAGAGATGAGTTCAAGAAAGTAGCGAGAAAAAGTTCACGGGGAAGTTTTTCAGGACTAAATTCAATCAATGTACAAGAGCAATTAGTCCTCTGTTATCCGTCGGTTGATAACTTCTTTGGAGCTTGTGTCTAATAGTAGCAATAATCAGAAGACTGAAAATCCTTCCACAGAACTTGTTGGCTTCCCTCCAACACCGGATATTGCAAATGGGCAAACTGAGGTTGCTAGTTCTACCAAAGCACCATTATTGGGAAAGTCTAGCAAGCAAGACAAGAAGAAGACCAAGGATCATGTGATTGCACTAAGAGATCTCGAGTTGGAGGAGCATCGAAAATCAACTGATAGAGGAGTCAAGGCTGATGTAACTCTTGATTTTAGTAACCCAGGTGGAGCAACTTCCTCTATGTCATCACAGAAGGACTTGGGGTCAACGAGGGTCAGATCTGGCTCTCAAAGCATTCGGAAGAAGTGGTGGCGCCAAGTACGGGTTATTCTTGCTATTGATGCAGCTGTTTGTTTAATACTCTTTGCTATTTGGTTGGCAGTCTGTGAAGGTATCAAGTGTACCCGTACATGATACATGATTAAAGTTAGAGAATTGGATTTCCTTTACTTTAAAGACTGCGTATCAAAGTATATATACTCTTAGAGGACCAGTTTTTAAACCAGTTAAAGCAACATATTTTATAGATAAGTTGTTTGAAGGTATGTGCTTCAAATTTCACTTCTGGTGGCATGAGATTTAGGGAATTCTCTGTACAGCTTCATATCTTTGTATTCAAAGCATTTTTATGAGAGTTCTTTTGTTGGAGTGCTTTTGGACCTCTTCGTAGATATGTATAAGCTGTTTTCTTTCGTGTATCATGTATTCATTTAAACTATTCCTGCATTTATCTAATCTTGGGCCCACCAGATATGTAATCAGTATCTCCATTCTTTATCTGATTCATGATCTTAAAATATTTCCTGCTACTTTAGCATATTTCCTCCTTTTGTGGAGGCTTGAACTGCTATCTTCTAACTTCTTTTTTATTTATTTTTTAATTATGAGTGCACTAGGTATGTGCTCCCTACCTTAACATATCTTCACTTGAGAATCTCACTGCCCTACCTAAACATTCTCTCCTCCTGTGGAGGTTTCTGACTGGTTCTACCTTTTCTATTACAAGTGCAGTATTCATATTTGTACTTCTTGTATACCTTGTTGTGCTTCTGATCCTGGAAGGGAAAAAAAGATCCTCCAGGAATTAGGATTTTATGAGAAAAACTGTAATTGTTGGCTTTTCATATTAGGTTATAATTTATTGATGTATCTCAGAAAAGGTATGATTCATTTGATGAAGTAAAAGGCACCAAGGGGATGCTGCGCACTTCCAAAAATAAAAATATTTACAACTCTCAAATAAAAATATTTACAACTCTCTCAATGATACAAGGATTACACTACTACTTCTATGGAACAGACTTTTCATTTTCTTTCCTTTTAGGATTGGAAAAAAATGTCATGCATCGTCATCTCTTGCCACCTTAAGAAAACTCTTAATAAAAGATAGTTGTTATCATTCCTGGTTGCATGTCTTGACAACCACCATAGGCTGTAGGCTGTGGTTTCTGTTTGCTCTGTGCTCTCACTCTCTTTAACCAACATATCAGCTTTAGTTGGTTATCCTATGCCTACTGTCTGGTAAGCATTAAGGTCTGTGAATGTTCATTTTTTTTACTTTTTCCGTGTGCTTAATCTACTGTCTTCCACATGATGAGTTGCTTATTCAAACATGGTAATAAATATCTAAACCCACTTCTTTTATTATTTTTTATTGATGTATCAACAATTATTTCTTACTTAATAAAACACTCAGGATATGTGTTTTGATCTGCCCCTTCCATGTCATGTACCTTTGCCATCCTAAGAATTTAATTGTGGAAAAATAAAATTCAAATTGTAAAGCTAACGTGACACCAGAATCAAGATTTAAACAGTATGCCTATAGGATTTTTGCAGGTTTAGAGAGTAAATGCCTGTGAATCAATCTGGATTTTAAAGTTTCCATAGAGATGATTTTCTCAGGGCTCTTTTTGATATTTCAATTAAATACACTTTCCTATTCCTATCTTTCTGTATATGTGGGTCTTGAACTTCAAATGTAGCATTTGAAGACTAGATTGCTGAAATAGAAAGAGTAATCTCTTGTAACTGAACGAGACCTTTGCTTCACTAGGTCTTAACACCGAGGTACAATAACATAGTAAAAATATGGATGCAGAGAATCACAGAGCCAGTTTCCCCATGTGTGGTAGCATCTCCCTTGAAAGGTTGTACAAGATGGGAACAATTAGGTTTTCATTTTTTAGGGTGCCAAGATCGGGTTGCTAAGGTAAAATGTAGATTTCGGAGAAGAGTGGATGCCGATGAGGTTAAATTTCTTCACACATGCCAGCATTTCCAGGCGATCTTTGATGCCATATGAACCATCAACTTTATTCTCTGGGTTCTTTGGTTGGGATATTTATAGTATTCAAAGCTTATAACTAATGAGAATTTTTTGTTGGAATAATTTTTGGTATTGATAAACTCTTTTGTGATTTGAATTTCAGGGGCTAATCCCTGCTAACTGTTAAAAGAGAGCCAGGTTGTGAACTATATGGCCTGGTTAGGTTTGGATTGCATTATGCATTCTGCTTTTGGTTTTAAATTTTACAAATAATCTAAGTTTTGCCATGCATGCTCTATGAATTTATACAGTTTTGTGAAGTGCAGGTAGGAAATGCCATACGCCTAGTATGAAACTTAGAAATAATCTAGAAATTATGTAGAAATATTTACAAGGTTCTTGAGGCTACTAGCAACAAAATCAATCCTTGAAATAATGGTTCGTTGATCCTTCATTAGTGCACTTTGTTTTGATCTTGTCCATGTCCTTCGTAATAGCTGATAGTGTAAAGAGCAAGGAGACAAATTATTTTTGGATCTTCATGTGTAAAGATAATGTCAAAGCAGTAGCTCATGTTCTGCTTCGTTATCTAGTTGGACTTGAAGTATTGATTGGCACTTACCTCTGTTTGAGAGTAATTGTGCTTACCTTACCAGTTTTGGGCATTTTATCATCTCGGGACCTAGCCACTAGAGATGAGAGAGTTCACTATAACAGTAGATCAGTGAGGGGCTTATTCCGCTCTTATGTACCCTTTTTCTCAGACAGCAGCTTATTGAAAGGAGGTCCGAGCTTCTGCTTCTGTCTAAGATCTCTTTTTTTTTTTATCCCACTCTTTTCAATTTGTTGAACAGCTGTTTTCTTCCTATGACAGGCTCTAGGCAAGGGGGACAGCTGGGTGTTGATACATTCCCAAACTTTCCTTTGAGAATTTGCTTTGGATGAACCTTTTGGTGTCAAGAGTGTCCTCTTGGCAATGGTCCCTGTTTTCTGGTAATGCTTTCTTGTATCATCCTTAAACTTAAAGCAGGCTGTTTCCTTGATGAAGATTTGTGAACAGTGAGATCCCTAAATCAAGGGCTGATTCTTGGAGCTTGTAGTTTAGTCAACCTTGGTGTTGTTTAATCTCACGAGTTGCCTTGCAATTCTCTTATGGTGATTATGAGGTGCATTGATTTGGTTTGTTCACTGGTTCCTTTTCTCCGTGTGTCTTTGGTGAAGTGGAAGTTACCTCCCCAACTATTGGTGATAATTTGCAGATATATATATATATATATATATATATAGGCTTTATTATTATCATAATCATTATTATGGCAAACTACACGTTTACATAAGGTGTCTTTTAATCTTATTCAAGTTCAAACTCGTGTTCTTTTTGCTAACAGATTAGTGTTGTAATTTGATTATTGCTGTTTTATGTAGAAATGTTAGTGTTCTCAGAAGATTAATTCCGTGCGTGCTCAGCTTATAAATAGAAATAATAGAACTTTTAGCTAAAGAAATAGACAATTAAGAGAACAAAACTTACAAGATAATGATCTAAAAAAACTAATAATTATATCTTAACTGGCAAGACTTCGTATCCTAACTTGATGAACTATCATATAGATCACAGAGTTTGAATTATGATAAAGAGAAATTATCATTTGTGTTGGTTACTTTTTGTTAGGTTGAATCCAAGAGTCGGTTATCAAAAGTCTACGTTGGAGAAATTAGGTTCCATTTATTATTTGAAAATATTTTTTTTTTTAATTTTATAACTTTAAACTTATATTTACTTATAAAATTTTTGTTTATGGAAGCATTTAGTAATTGTATTATAAAATAATCCAAAGGATTCAAAGTGCATATAAGACAACATTCCAAAAAAGTGCTTATAAAAAAGTTCAAGGATTTGAATTTGGTATATGGAAATATTTTTTAGTTTGTATTTTTAAAATTTATATACGGGTTCATATGTTTGTTGAATAATTAAGTGAAATAAAATATAATTTTTTAAAAACATTAAAAAAATATATGTTATAATTTTTATCATCAATTTTTATTTGAGACAACCATTATTTGTTAATTAACTTATATCTTCCTATTAAAAAAATTATTCATTATTTAAATTACACTTAACGCACTTTTAAATTTACATTATGTAGATGATTAAAAGTATTAACCATTCAATTCTTAGTGATTTAAGATGTGAATATAAATTATTGTAAGAATTTTACGTGACAAATTATTTTTAGAAAATTAAAATTAAAAAATAAAGGTTGAAATTCAATGGAAGGTGATTTAACGACTGTTGTGGCAGATTACTTCTAACATCAGCAGCGCCGTTATGGGACGGAGGCGGATATAAATGAATCCTCCAAGGTCATCTCTTATAAACGCCATGCAGAAACTTCCTTCTAAAAATCTTTCTTCAACTAAATCTAATTCTTCCTCAAACTAAGGATTCTAATGGAAGATTCTTTGTTCAAGTCAGCATGTTTCAAGGAAATCTACGTTCTATCTACAAGCCTTTTGCAAAATCTCTTATATGCTCTAAGTTAACCCACACGAGCTGCAGACGGGTGACGGAATCTCTTGTGCTGTTGCACTTCAATGAGGAATATATATCAAGTCGGCTAGCGCCAATTTTGCGAGCTGATGTTGACTTCTCTGTTCTTAAACAAGGTAGGCAAGTTCATGCGCAGCTTGTTGTCAATGGAATTAGCACTGGCAGTCATCTGGGTGCAAGGATTCTGGCTATGTACGTTCTTTGCGGCAGCTTTTCGGATGCCGGGAAGATATTTTATAAGCTCGAGTTATGGTGTACTACGCCTTGGAATTGGATGATCAGAGGGCTTGTTAAAATGGGTTTGTCTGATATTGCCTTGTTGTTTTACTTTAAGATGTTGGGTTGCGGAGTTTCTCCGGATAAGTATACGTTTCCATGTGTAATCAAGGCCTCTAGTGATTTGAATAATCTAAGATTGGTGAAGCTAGTTCATGATACGATTAGAGTTATGGGGCTTGAGACTGATCGGTTTGTAGGTAGTTCTTTGATTAAGTGGTACGCAGATGAAGGTTGTATAGATGATGCCCGTGATCTGTTCGACAAAATGTCTGAAAAAGATGAAGTTTTGTGGAATGTGATGCTTAACGGTTATGTCAAATCTGGGGATATTGATAACGCTATAATGGTGTTTAAGGAAATGATGGTCAGCCAAACAATGCCCACTTCCGTGACATTTGCTTGCCTTCTGTCTGTATGCGCCTCAGAGGCAATGGTGAGTCTTGGCACTCAGCTTCATGGCCTCACTACCATCTTTGGCTCAGAGTTTGAGTCCTCAGTGGCAAATACTCTCCTGGCTATGTATTCAAAATGTGGGCACTTGTCTGATGCACGCAAGATTTTTAATTTGATGCCTCGAACTGATTTAGTGACTTGGAATGGGATGATCAGTGGGTATGTGCAGAATGGTTTCATGGAAGAGGCTTCCCATTTGTTTCGCCAGATGGTATTTGGTGTTCGAAAACCAGACTCCATCACGTTTTCAAGTTTTCTTCCCGCGGTCATTGAGTCAGCAAGCCTCAAACAAGGTAAAGAAATTCATGGTTATATAGTGAGACATGGTGTGACACAGGATGTATTCTTAAAGAGTGCACTTATTGACATATACTTTAAATGTAGGGATGTGGAGATGGCACAGAAGATTTTTAATCATTGCACTTCAACTGATGTTGTAGTATGCACGGCAATGATCTCTGGATATGTGTTTAATGGAATGAACTCTGCAGCTCTAGAAATTTTCAGGTGGCTGTTCCAAGAGAAAATTAGTCCAAATGCTGTAACTCTGGCAAGTATTTTGCCAGCTTGCTCTGGTCTGCTTGCCCTGAGATTGGGTAAGGAAGTTCATGCTAGTATCCTCAAGAAGGGCCTTGAGGGGAGATGCCACGTGGGAACCGCTATTATGGACATGTACGCAAAATCTGGAAGGTTGGATCTTGCTCGAAGAATTTTCGAAAGAATATCTGATAGGGACACTGTTTGTTGGAACTCAATGATAACGAGTTGTGGGCAGAACAGCAAACCAGAAGAGGCAATTGATCTCTTTCGTCGAATGCGAATGTCAAGAATCAAACATGACTGCGTAAGCATATCAGGTGCTCTTTCTGCCTGTGCAAACTTACCTGCACAACATTATGGGAAAGAGATCCACGCTTTCATGATCAAAGGATCTCTGAGCACTGATGTATTTTCTGAGAGTGCATTGATAGACATGTATGCCAAATCTGGAAATTTGGGTGCTGCTAGACTTGTGTTTGATATGATGCAAGAGAAAACAGAAGTTTCATGGAATAGCATCATTGCTGCGTATGGGAATCACGGCCACCTCAGGGACTCACTTTTGCTGTTCCATAGAATGTTAGATGATGGATTTCAACCCGATCATGTCACTTTTCTCGCTATAATGTCTGCTTGTAGCCATGTTGGAGGAGTTGATGATGGACTTTACTACTTCCGCTCCATGACTGAGGATTATAGAATTCAACCTCAGATGGAGCATTATGCATGCATGGTAGATTTGTTTGGGCGAGCTGGGCATTTGGAGGAAGCATTCAAAACCATAAAGAGCATGCCATTTTTGCCTGATGCTGGAGTGTGGGGAACATTACTTGGGGCCTGTAGGGTTCATGGTAACGTTGAGCTTGCTAGAGTGGCTTCCAGAAAACTTTTTGAATTGGACCCTCAAAATTCTGGTTATTATGTATTGCTGTCAAACATACATGCTGATGCCGGAGAATGGTGGAATGTCCTTGAGATACGAAGTTTGATGAGAGAAAGAGGAGTTCAGAAGATACCTGGGTACAGTTGGATTGTGGTCAACAACTCTCCCCACCTGTTTATTGCTGCTGATGGATGTCACCCAGAGGCTGCTCAGATCTATTCGGTGCTCAAGTTGCTTCTTCTAGAGCTGAAAAGAGAAGGATATGTTCCTCAGACTTATCTCCCAATATACCCGCAAACCTTAAGGCATGAAGGTGTTGGTGCTACTATCAATGAACGCTAATCCCACATCGACTATGTACGGTTTATACCCTCATGTAATCGTGGCCCACATCAACTATGTACGGTTTATACCCTCACGTAAACATCGCCCGCATGTTCCACGGGAATAGGGTTCTTAGGAGGCGCTAGTTGAGCATGCATTGTGGTTTTTATAAATTGTATTACTCTATATGTCACCATAAATTAAATTCTTCTCATTGTATCAGCACCTATTGGAAGTTGCATTTATTTTTATGTTTTCCCTCCCTACACTCATTACTTGAACCATTAGGCAAGAGATTGAGAATTTGAAAC